TCTTGCTTCTTAAGACTCATCTAGGTGAAATGAGATTGTGAGGCCTCTACTTAGCCGTAAGTAGAACTGTGGCCATCCTGACCCACCAATCCAGGTATCTAATACTTGGAGATCCTTCCTATTCCTTTTTTCTCGAGAGATTGACTTTGTAACTTCCTCTAACTGCCTTCTTTTTGGCACTTTTCATACTGTATCTTAATTTCATACTCTATCTTAATTATTTGTTGCTGTTTCTTACCCCTTTTTGTCTGTGAGTTTCCCAAGAGCAAGGTCATCTTTTCATCCTTGCATCTCCAATGCACAGCAATATATTTTGGTTCTCAATATATTTTGGTTCAAATGAGATTGTGAGGCCTACTTAGCCATAAGCAGAACTATGGCCAATTTTCCCCACAGTTTAGGTACTCCATGACTCATTCATACATATGATATTCTTTGTAAATTATTTTATTTTATTTTTACTTTTTATTGAGAAGGGATATTACTATGTTGGCCAGGTTATCTTGAACTCCTGGCCTCAAGCAATCCTCCCGCCTCCCAAAGTGCTACGATTACAGGCGTGGGCCATTCGTGCCTAGCCAGAGACAATATTAAGATATACTAAATGTCTAATGTTTTGTAAATACTTTTGTGATCCTTTTGATTGAACCTTTTGAAACATCTGTATTAATAAATTCTTTATACCTATAGACAAAATAGTCATAAAGTTTTTCCTTCTTAACTCTTTTGTCTCTTTTCTATCCATTTCATCCTGACCCACCAACCCAGGTATCTAATACTTGGTGATCCTTCCTATTCCTTTCTTTACTTGCAAGGAAAGTGTTTTTCTAAAGCTAACGAGCTCCGCCAGGTGTGGTGGCTCATGCCTGCCATCTCAGCACTCGGGGAGGCAGAAGTTGGCGGATAGCTTGAGCCCCGGAGTTTACGACCTGCCTGGGCAACATAGCAAGTTGCCCCATTCTTTTTTTTTGAAATGGAGTCTCACTGTGTCGCCCAGGCTGGAGTTGTAGTGGTGTGATCCCAGCTCACTGCAAACTCTGCCTCCCAGGTTCAAGCGATTCTCCTGCCTCAGCCTCCCGAGTAGCTGGGACTAGAGGTGCATGCCACCATGCCCGGCTAATTTTTGTATTTTTAGTAGAGACAGGGTTTTGTCATATTGGCCAGGCTGGTCTTGAACTCCTGACCTCAGGTGATCCGCCCAACTCGGCCTCCCAAAGTGCTGGGATTACAGGCGTGAGCCACCATGCCCGGCCTGCAAGTCCTCATTTTAAAAAAATAAATAAATAAAATAAAAAACAAAAAAGTTAATGAGCTCTAAGCTATAGAACTCTATGCTCACATCTCATAAAAGGAAGGTCTTGTTTATCTTTACGCCCTTACCACCTACTGCTGTACTAGCACAGTGTAAATATGCAATAAAATCTTTTTTACTCAACCCAAATGTCAACTGGAGAATTAATAACTAAAAAGTAGCATGTGATATATGATGGAATGCTATTTGCCAATTAAAAGAAAATGAAGTACTGGTCAGACGTGGGGGCTCACACCTGTAATCCCAGCACTTTGGGAGGCTGAGGTGGGCAGATCACCTGAGGTCAGAAGTTTGAGACCAGCCTGGCCGACGTGGTAAAACCCCATCTCTACTAAAAATACAAAAATCAGCCAGGCGTGGTGGTGCATGCCTGTAGTCCCAGTTACTTAGGAGGCTAAGGCAGGAGAATCACTTGAACCTGGGAGGCCAAGATCATGCCACTGCACTCCAGCCTGGACAACAGAGCAAGACTTTGTCTCAAAAAAAAAAAAAAAGTACTTACACATGTTGCAATATGAATGAGTCTTGAAAACGTGCTCAGTGAAAGAAGCCAGCCCCAGAAGACCACATACTGTCTGATGTGATGTAATGGACATTTTATATAATGTCCAGAACAGGCAAATCAACAGAGACAGAAAGCAGATTAGTGGTTTCCGGAGGCTGGAGAGACTTGGGGGAAACGGGGAGTGACTGCTAATGAGTCCAGGGCTTCTTTCTGGGGTGATAAAAATATCACAGGCCAGGCATGGTGGCTCACGCCTGTAATCCCACACCTTGGCAGGCTAAGACAGAAGAATCGCTTGATCCAGGAGATTGGGACCAGCCTGGGTAACATAGTGAGACCCCATCCCTACAAAAAAAATGTTTTTAATTAGCAAGGCATGGTGATGCACACCTATAGTCCCAGCTACTTGGGAGGCTGAGGTGGGAGGATGGCTTGGGCTCAGAAAGCTGAGGCTGCAGTGAGCTATGATCACACCACTGCACTCCAACCTGGGGGACAGAGCAAGACCCTGTCTCAAAAAAAAATATTTAAAAATTCTAAAATTGGTCAAGGTGATGGTTGTACAACTCTGTGAATATACTAAAAATCACCGAATCATATACTGTAAATGATATGCCAGTTATATCTCAATAAGCTGTTAAAAAAAGAAAAAATCTTGCTTGTTTTTGTTTTAGAGTTCAAAGGAGATTCAGAGATAGAAAGTACAGTTGTATAGCGAGATGACAGACAAGTTTATTAGCAGACACTCCTCCTCACCAAGGGTGGTCCCGGCTGCTGGGCGGATCTTTGGCCATTCGTCCATGCTAAATAGCTGTGTGTTCCAGAGAGGAATGTGGAATAGGCAGCAAGTCACTCAACTGATTTCACATGAATATATGAAGCAAAGTAATTTAAAGCATTAGGACTCCTCAGAAGAATAGAAAGAAAAGACTCTGCAGAGTCTAAAGACCAAGAAATTTAAGTTTTATCAGAGCTCATTCCACTAAAAAGACTGGCTTCCTTTACTCTATTCCTAGCTACAGTGATTTGGTTATAACTTGTTCCTACTCCAAGTGATGTTGCTGAATTGGTACACACCACCATCTCTCCAATCTGAATTCTCTAGGAAATATTCAGAGATTAACAATGCCCAGTTTTGTTGACTGCTGAGTCACTTTCTGAGCTTATTTGCGAGCCCCAAAAGACCACATACAGTATGCAGAATAATGGCCTTCTACAGATGTCCACATCCATCCGCTGGAACCTGTGACTGTTTTACCATACACAGCAAAAGAGACTCTGCATGCCAGGCACAGTGGTTCACACCTGGTAATCCTAGCACTTTGGGAGGCCAAGGCAGGAAGATTGCTTGAGCTCTGGAGTTCAAGACCAGCCTGGGCAACATAGCAAGACCCTGACTCTAAAAATAAAAATAGTAAGCCAGGCATGGTGGTGGGCACCTGTAATCCCAGCCACTTAGAAGTCTGAGGCAGGAGAATCACTTGAACCCAAGAGGCAGAGGTTGCAGTGAATGGGGATCACGCCACTGCACTCCAGCCTGGGGGACAGAACGAGACTCTGTCTCAAAAATACAAATAAAAATAAAAATAGTAGAGGCTTTGCAGATAGAATTAAATAAAGGATTGCAAGACAGGAAGATTATTCTGGTTTATCTGGGTATGCCTAACATAATCACAAGAGTCCTTATAAGTGAAAAGGGGAAGTGGGAGATTCACAATCAGAGAAGGAGCTATGGCAGAGGCAAAGGTCAGAGTGATGTAATCACTGGCTGATGTAATCCACGCATTAAGCAATGTGGGAAGCCTCTAGAAGCTGGAAAAAGCAGGAAGATGGATTTTCCCCCGGACTCTCCAGCTCTGCCAACACCCCGATTTTAGCCCTCTGAGACCCATTTCAGATTTCTGATATCTAGAACTTTAAGATAATTCATTTGTATTTAAGTCACTACATTTATGGTAATTTGTTATAAATGCAACAGGAAATGAATACACTTGCCCTTATTATCAGTATCAGCCCTGCAGGCACATGTCTATTTGTGGGGTATTATTTGCTATTATTGCCCAAGACAGAGCACTCATTTGGAGTAACTATTAATTGTTTCAGAATAGACTTTTCCTTTTGGGCTGGGAAGCTCCAGAACTAGCCAGTGGAAACTGCAGTTTGATCAATGGCTAACGGTCAATACAGGTAAAGAAACATGCAATTCTGTCACTGGGGTTTTGAAACACAGATTTCATAATAATACTGTTTAACAACAGTAACTTCAGTTGTGTTGTGTGTAAGTGTTCTCTGCCACGTTTTTATTATGCAGAGTTTTAGGAAGGGTAGCAAGCTGAGACAGGATAGGCAGTGTGGAATGGGGTCTTTCATCTAAGGTTTGGTAATAATTAGGAAATACAAAGATAATTTTCCAGAGGTAAGGGAGCATAAATAAGGTAGGCGTAAATGGAAAAAGGTTCTCATCTAAGATACAACTAATGATGAAGTAGAGGAGTGATACAGGGAGAAAAAACAGTCGAAAAGAAAAAACACTAGACACCATGAAATGATATGAACACTGAATCACTGCCTAGAGCCCCAATTTTTCTATTTCATTAGTTTTATTTATTTACTTATTTTTTATTTTTCTTTTTATTTTTGAGACAGGGTCTGTCTCTGTTGTCCAGGCTGGAGTGCAATGGCATGATCTTGGCTCACTGCATCTTCCACCTCCCGAGTTCAAGCAATTCTCCCGCCTCAGCTTCCCCAGTAGCTGGGATTACAGGCACCTGCCACCACATCCAGTTAATTTTGTATTTTTAGTAGAGATGGGGTTTCACCATGTTGGCCAGGCTGGTCTTGAACTCCTGACCTCAGGTGATCCGCCCACCTCAGCCTCTCAAAGTGCTGAGATTACAGGTGTGGGCTACCATACCTGTCCATATTTCAGTAGTTTTAATTTGATCTTGAGCCTAATACACATGCAACTTCCATATTTTCCTAAGACTTCTTTTTCTAAATCCAACATAAAGCTTCTACAACTGAGTTGAGTCATAATCTAGTAAAAAGGCATAAGATTTCCAGTGACAGTGAAAATACACTTATTATTCATTCTTTTCATTATTTAAGAAGACTTGTAACACTGATGTCGTCAGTGTCTCTCCCCCTGCCAGGTGAAGTGTTCAACAATGAAACTCTACTTACAACTGCACAGCGCTGCACTTTGGAAGGAATCCCGTCTTCCTCTGCTGCCCCATTGGGTCCGGGCGCCTCTTTTCTCCTCTTCCTGGCATTGACTTTGGGTGAACACTGCGCATCCATCTTCTTTTAACTGGTCGTGGAAAGTGAGCAGAAATTTTTTCCTCATTGGGGTGGAAAAAAAGTTTGTCACCAGTATTTCAGAGATGTTAACATTGATACACTCAGCAAAATATCAATTCTATAGCATGTACTTCACCAAGATGAGCCAATGGCATCTAGCAAAAACCATGAAGCTTCACAAAACACAGGCTGTCGTGGAAATGCTGCGATGCCCCTCTGAGGAGCAATGGCCACAAGGAATTGCCTGAAGTTGGAAGTCATTCCCGCTCACAATGCAGCCTGCAAACTAACTGCTAATTTTAAATCCTGATTGCATGCAAAAGACTGGAATAATTTGGCTGAGACAGATAGCTATATAGACTTTCCCAGTACCCTCCATATCATCAGAATGACAGGTGTAAGGCAATGTGAAGGCATGATTGGTGCAAGTAGAAAAAAGAGCTTTTTGTAAAGGGAGGGGGCTCTCACCAAGTCCTGGCTTAAAAAAACATGGATTTTTTTTTTAACTCTAATCTTTTTTTTTAAGACAGTGTTTCACTCTGTTGTACAGGCTGGAGCGTAGCAGTATGATCTTGGCTCACTGCAGCTTCAACCTCTTTAGCTCAAGTGATCCTCTTGCCCCAGCCTCCCAAATAGCTGGGACTACAGGCACATGCCACCACACCTAGCTATAGGCCTCACTATGTTACCCAGGGTGGTCTTGAACTCCTGGCCTCACGTGGTCCTCCTGTCTCAAACTGCCAAAGACCTGGAATTACAGGCATGAGCAATAGTACCCAGTTGATTTCTTAACTCTGAATGCTCTACAGATTTTAGTGGCCACTCCACCAGGGTTAGTTCTATGAACATTGTGAGTAGCGTAATGGTTTTTATTTACTTTTTAAATTTTTTTTAAGGGATTGGGTCTTTCTATGTTGTCTAGGCCAGAGTGCAGTGGCTACTCACAGTCGTAATCATAGCACACTGTAGCCTCAAACTCCTGAACTTAAGCAATCCTCCCACCTGAGCCTCCAGAGTAGCTAGGATCAGCATAATGCATTTTTTAAATGTCCTTCCCTTTCTTTCCATTTTATTTATTTATTTATTTATTTATTTATTTATTTATTTATTTATTTATTTTTGAGAAAGAGTCTCACTCAGGCTAGAGTGCAGTGACATGATCTTGGTTCACTAGAACCTCTACCTCCCGAGCTCAAGCAATTCTCCTGCCTCAGCCTCTGAGTAGCTGAGATTGCCACCACTCACAGCTAATTTTTGTATTTTTAGTACAGATGGGATTTCATCCTGTTGGCCAGGCTGGTCTTGAACTCCTGACCTCAGGTGATCCACCCCCCTTGACCTCCCGAAGTGCTGGAATTACAGATGTGAACCATTGCAACTGGCCCTCCCCCTTCTTTTCTCAGTACTCATTTCCCTTTCCTCTTTCGGGATCTTGGCACCTCAAGCTTCTTCACAGTTTCCAGCTGTTAAAACCCCTCCAGGATTCTCCTTCCCCCAAAGGAAAACTTACTCATTATTGTTTCACTTAGCAGAGAGTTTCTGGCAGCTAGCTATTACAGCAAAGTTCTGAATATTCTATGTTTCATGTTTTTATCACAGAATACTTGGAGTGTCGCTTCACCAGCCAGAAACCTCTGTGGCCAGCGGAGCCTTTGCCTGAGTTTTGCTTGGGCCTGCCAGGCTCCTTCCGTCCACTTGGTCTGGTAGGCTGTGCTCAGCTCGTGTTACCGGCACAGATTCCATACATGCCGAGGGCGAAGCAGGTGCAGAGCAGCAAGGGGTGCGTGAGCAAGTGAGCACAGGGTCTGGCCACTGCGCATAGCCAGGCACTCCAGCTGCAAGGGGGTGGGCAGCTCCAGGCGCCAGCTCCCTGAGAGGCTATGGCTAGACCAGGTATACCAGATGCAGCTTCCACTGCAGTACTGGGGAACATGGTGGTGCCCAGAAGCTTGGAGATGCCAGGAACCATGGAGCTCCAAAGAGGGTGTCACAGTCCTAGCTCAGGGAGCTCCTAGGTCTGGGCTTCCCAAAGGACTGCAGCTCTTCTCTCTCTCCTTCTTTCTTCTCTCCTTCTCTTGCTCACAACATGGCAAGTGGGTGGGGGAGGGGGAGGGAGAGTGGGGGGCATGCTTCAGCTCTGTTTGTGTTACAGCTCCTTCAGTCCCACCATTTGGCAGATTCTGAGTTCTTGTCTCATGTCCAGGAAGAATGAGGTACACACACAACTGGAGTTGAGCAATGTGAAGCGGTACTTTATCGAGCAATACAATAGCTCTCAAGAGACCCAAAGTGGGTAGCTCCTTTCCACAGGAGGTCGGCCCAGCATGTGTGCAGCCCTCAGCAGAGAGGAGACCCAGAGTGGACAGCTCTTATCTACAGGTAGGTTGGCCTGTCAAGTCCAACTGAGTCCAGGGTTTTTACGGGCTACAGAGGGGAGGAAGTGCATGCTGATTGGTCCATGGGTGGCCATGGGCAGACTGCAAAAAGCACCATAAGCTCGCACTCCAGTCCACAGAACTGGCAGCCTGGGCCCCAGACTTCAGGCCATTCCTGGCTTGAAGGTGGGGCTTCGAGAGTGACCCACCCATTTCTGCCTAGGAGCCTGTCTGGCTCCTGCTGCCATCAACCTGCCATCCATGGTGCCCAGGCTATTTGTGCCAAGGGGCGCCTGCAGGCCTGTGTGGAGTTGCCCTCAGCCCCCGCCTTGGCCTCCCTCCTGTGCTCCTGGACACCCAAAATCCAGAGGGAAACAGGCAGCAGTGGGCTGGCGTGTCAGTGCTGCCCTTAACATGCACGCACCCAGCCAGGACATGACAGTGCCCAGGCTTGGCTTCAACCTTGCTCCAAAATCAGAGTAGGCACCAGGACCATGGAGAGGCCAGGCGGTGGGAGCAGGCACTTCCAAGTCTGCAGGGGCAGGGAAGGTTCCTGGGCCCCCAAAAGCACAGGGATGCCTGGGTATGCAGCCATGGCCACTCCCACCCTGCCAACTCAGAAGGGGGCAGGGCTTCCACTTATTCCCAGCTCCCATGGGTTCTATGGAGCGCCTGCAGCCCAGGCCATGCCTCCCCCACTGCAGCCAGCGTCATGGCAGCAGCCAGTCCAGACAGGCCGTCACTGCCATCATTTAGATGTTGACTTTTCAACCCCCTGCAGGGATATTTGCATTTTTCGAGTAATATAGTTTTTTTTGTTGTTTTTTGGTTTTTTTTTTTTGAGATGGAGTTGCACTCTTGTTACCCAGGCTGGAGTGCAATGGCATGATCTCAGCTCACCACAACCTCCGCCTCCTGGGTTCAAGCAATTCTCCTGCCTCAGCCTCCCAAGTAGCTGGGACTATAGGTGCGGGCCACCATGCCCAGCTAATTTTTGTATTTTTAGTAGAGACGGGGTTTCACCACGTTGACCAGCATGGTCTCAATCTCTTGACCTCGTGATCCACCCGCCTCGGCCTCCCAAAGTGCTGGGATTACAGGCGTGAGCCACTGTGCTCGGCCGAGTAATACAATTTGTATGAATTAATTACTTTCTTGATACTGATGAAATTTTAGGAATCAGCTAGAAATTGGGAATTAGGGGAACCTCTGTGATCAACTGTCATCTCTGTTTAAGATACAGTTCAGAGAAAAATCTTCAGAACAGAGGTGGAAAACAAAGGCTAGACAGAATGAGAACAGTCTACTCTGCCCTACTGCCTCTACTAAGCCTGAGTGAGATGTTCATCTAAACAACTGCAATGATGCCTTACTTTTTTTCCTCCGGGTAAATTCCAAACGGCAACATGACAAGATCTACAAGAAACCTGGCCTCCTTCTTAGAGGCTGAAGGTGACACCTCATGAGTCATGGCTACGTATTAGGCCAACATGAAAAAATGTCAGAGTCCAAAGTGAAAGATAAGCACCACCCAGAAACTTCCTTTTGTCACAAATGCAAATTAAAATGGAAGAAGGGTGCTATACATTTAACACTAAGTTCTTCCAGAGATGATGATCAAAGCTTGTCTTCATTATTGTTATTAATTATTCTTTCATAATATTCAGAGGTCAATACTCTCAATGGTCTGAGTGGACTACTAAAAATGTCTAATCCATCCAATTAATGACAGTTCTTAATTTATACGGTCCTCTTCTGTAAGTATAATCAGCAATTTGGTGTCAGGCAAGTCAATAATATTAGGCAGTCAAAAATGTGAGTACTCACTGTTTATAAAGTACTGTATCATAATTTTTAAGTATCATAAATTTTAAGTACAAACTGAACCTGGAGGACATTATGCTAAGTGAAATAAGCCAGGCACAAAAACACACACTAATGACCTCACTTGTTTGTGGAATCTAAAAGGTTGGAACTCACAGAAGTAGACTGTAGAATGGTGGTTATAAGAGGTGGACAGAGGAGGGTGGAGAGCAGAAGGGGAGATGTTGAGTACAAAAGTTTAGTTTTGAAAGGAGGAATAGGCTTTAGTAGTCTATTGCACAGAATGGTGACTACAATAAATAATAATGTATTTAACATTTCAAAATTGCTAAAAGAGTAGATTTCAAATGTTTTCACCACAAAAAAATTAGTATACAAGGTAAGGAATTTATTAATTAGCTTGATTTAATCATTCCACAATGTAAACATATATAAGGAATTTATTAATTAGCTTGATTTAATCATTCCACAATGTAAACATATATCGAAGAATCACATTGTATCCCATAAATATATACAATTGTTATTTATAAATTAAAAAATTAAAGGCCATGTGCAGTGGCTCATGCCTGTGAATCCCAGCACTTTGGGAGGCTGAGGTTGGCAGATCACCTCAGGTCAGGAGTTTGAGACCAGCCTGGCCAACGTAGTGAAACCCCACCTCTACTAAAAATACAAAAAGTAGCTGGATACGGTAGTGCATTCCTGTAATCCCAGCTACTGAGGAGGCTGAGGTGGGAGAATCGCTTGAACCTGGGAGGCAGAGCCGAGATCACACCACTGCACTCTAGCCTGGGCGACACAGAGAGAC